ATTGACAAGCGCGTAGGTGGGTGTTGTGTTTTTTTTTTTTATTTGTTGGTAAGAGGATGTAGGGAACTATTCGTGTGTATACAGGAGTAAGGACATAGAAGGGGATGTATAGAGTAGCCTAAAGTATTTCTAGACCAGTCTTAAGCTGGATTTCAGCTTTCCTACTCGGAAGTGAAATGTGTGTGCGGGCGGGCTCCTGCCCGTCTTTTCGTCAAGATTTTCTCAATAGCGTTCCACAAGGTTCAGTCCTACGCCCGCTCCTCTTCACTTTATACGCTAATGACCTACCCGGTGAACTCCGTGTGCCATCTCCAATGTTTGTGGATGACTCGAAACACTGGTTCACAATGTACGATCTGATTGGTCCACCGACCCTACAATGGACTCTGGATAAACTTTGGGACTGGTCATTTTTTGGCAGTTGCCCGTTAAGTTAGCAACTTGTTCGTTTTTACGTGTTGGTCCGAATGACCCGCCGACGCGTTATTGGCTTGGCGGCAACAAGGTACCAGGAATTCAACTTCAATCTGACCTTGAAGTTTTGACGCCATCAGACATTAAATCCAGTGAACACTGGATGACAGCTGCTCGCAGCGGTTTCAACATATTGTGGATCATCCACAGGTCAATCAGGGTCATGATTACCGAATTGTTTGTTAGACTATTTGCAGCTTTTGTAAGGCCACACTTGAAATACCGCGTTTACGTTTGTCCTTCACGCCTGGTTCGAGATAAAATGGCAGTTGAACGAGTCCTGCGTTTCCGTACGAAAATGGTGCACGGATTAAAGAAGCTGACGTACCCGAAGTGGCTACGTAGGTTAACTATGTTCTCCATGTATCACAGGAGGCTTTGGGGTGACTTGCTCCTCACATATCGTATACCGATAAGTCAGCTTAGTCCTGATTTGTCTAGACGTTTTCACCCAACCCGAGAACCAACCATTCGTGGCCACACATTAAAGTTGAACAACTCCCGATCTGACAGGGTTTGGACAGTTTTTCATTTATCGCGCATGGTCATAGCTTATTGGAACGCACTGCCTGCAGACGTCGTGATGGTACCGACGATGCAAGTGTTCGAGCATCGAATCGACGCTCTCGATCCGCAGTTTAAACTGTTCCCTTCATGTCTTAAGCCTTTTCTCGTCTCCTACGACCTACGCTTCTTTAACTCAATTTAACTTGCATCTTAATATTGCCCACGATATTTGATAAGCTTGCCTTCTCCCTGTACCCTTCCTTTACTGCCCCTACTGTTTTCCAGCAATCTTCAGTTGGCAGGCACAGCGGGCACTCCTAGTGCAGGGCGCGTGAGCATTATTTGCCTGACGAGGTGAATAAATAAATAAATAAATAAATACTTTATTCTCGACTATGCGAGGCACGCCTATGGAGGCATGATCAGATATGTACAACTGTATAGAAACATTTCTCCGTATGCATCTAAACTGTACTGTCAACAAGACAATGTGTGAGAAAATTAATAAAAATATGTTTGTTGCATAGTATTCCATGAAAAAATAAGTATATGAATTGGTTTAGTTTGAATGGGTTTCATTTCTATATTGTTTTTTGTCAGCTATCTAGTTTAGAAATGGAAAAGCAGAGACAAGAGATATTTAAGAAGATATCCACGAAATAAAAAACAAACAAACGTAAAGCACGAAGAACTTACATCCAAATCCCAACAAGACAACCACATATCACCCCAAAACCACCCCACAACATAATACCCATCACCACGCAATTCATAATAAACATAAGGACCATGGATCAAGAGTTTGTAAAAAAAAAACTGATGTTGATAAATGAAAATACATCACGACGAAAGAACTAGGATCAACATCGGGAGCTTTCAATATCGTGCGGTTAGGATTTTTATTTTGAAAAACGGGTGGCTTCGGCGGGTGCGGTGCGAAGTGAGTGGTAATTGGTTTGGATGTAAGAAATATGAACTTTTTGATAGACCCGCCGCCTGCCTGGACCGGTGTGTGTTGCCTTTCTGATGAGGTTTGATGAGAACTTGGCGGGGCCATCAGTAGGTATGTAGTGTCGATACCTGACGCTTTTTTTAAATATTTTAGTTTGTTATAATTTTGTCTTATTATTGGTTTGCTTAGATGTTATTTTATTAGGTTTTCCAGTAGGTTCGGTGACATGAGCGCAGCAGGCGTGGGCCGGGGGGCCGGCCGTCGCCTGTGAGTTCGAGTTTCCTCCTCCCCCTGTCTCCCCTCCGCCCCCTCACCATCTCCGCCGGCCCACCCCTTCCCCTCCCACCTCCCCCCCCCCTTCGCCACCCCCCCCCTCCCCCCCCGACCCTCGCCCAGCCCAGTCCCATGGGGTGCGTGGGTCCGGTCCGCGCTTTCGCGGTTAATCGGTAACTACTAAGATCACGCGGGGCCGCCGTCAGGGGGAGGGGGGGGGTTTCTTAAAAAACGACAATTTTTGTTTGGGTGGACCACCCCCCCCCCCCCCTTTTTTTTTATTGTTTGTTGAAAAAAAAAAGTTAAAATAATTTATTTCTATTTATGGTGGATTCGGATAACCGATTCCTGCACCAAGAGGATGGAGCCGAAGAATAAACGCCCATACCGACACCACACGGCTGCCGCTGCAAAAGAGACGAAAACACTGCCCCGGAGTTGTATAAAAAATAAGCATTTTGGAGCGGGGGGGGGGGGGGGGGGCGGGGAGGCTGGGGTGGGGTGTGTGTGGTGGGTGGCTGGGGGGGGTGTGGGGGGGGGGGGGGTGGGGGGGGGGGGGGGGGGGGTGGGGGGGGGTGGGGGGGTGGGGGGGGGTGGGGGGGGGGGGGGGGGTGTTGGGGCGGGGGGGGGTGGGGGGGGGGTGGGGGGGGGTGGGGGGGGGGGGGGGGGGTGGGGGGGGGGGGGTGGGGGGGGGGGGGGGGTGGGGGGGGGGTGGGGGTGGGGGGTGGGGGGGGGGGGGTGGGGGGTGGGGGGGGTGGGGGGTGGGGGGGGGGGGGGGGTGGGGGTGGGGTGGGGGGGTGGGGGGGGGTGGGGGGGTGGGGGGGTGGGGGGGGGGGTGGTGGGGGTGGGGGGGGGGGTGGGGGGGGGTGGGGGGGGGGTGGGGGGGGGGTGGGGGGGGGGGGGGGGGGGGGGGGTGGGGGGGGTGGGGGGGCGGGGGGGCGCGGGATTGTTGGTGGGGGGAGGAGGATGGTGGGGGTTTGGGGGTGGGGGGGGAGGGGGGGGGAAAACTAGAAATACTTTCAAAATCATTAATTGGAGATGGATTATGTTCCCAAAAATGAAACTTGAGTTTAAGCCCCTCCAACGGACAAGAGAACAGCTTCGCTCTGAATGACTGGGTGGGGACAATACTGGGAGGAGGCGATGCGAGCCCGCCTACAGGGCGGAGGAGTGGTCGTTGGCAACCCGAGAGGATGGTGGGGGGCGGGGCGGGATTGAGGAAAGTGGTAAGGAGGGGCAGGGAAGAGACGCGGGGGCCGAGGGGAACGAGGGGGGGTAGGCGGACGTCGGGGCAGGTGGGGTGGGAGTAAGCGATAGCGGGTGATAGGGGGGGCGCTGGGGGAGTAGGGATGGGGGATTTCGGCGAACGATTTTCAACCACTACCTCTCCTCAACAAATTTTTTTTCTTTGTTTTTTTTTTTTTTTTTATTTTTTTTTTCTTTTTTTTTTCTTTTTTTTTGTTGTTTTATTTTTTATTTTTTTTTTTTTTTTTATTTTTTGTTTTTTTTTTTATTTTTCGGACACTTTAGAAATACAGTTCAATTATAAACAAACATTGGTTGCACACGTGGATCTCCAACAGAAACTAAACGCCGAGACAATAGAAGAGTATACGACATCAACCAAAGCTCTAGTGTGTCCGCGGCCCCAGAAAGCTCATCTCTATATAATTAAGGAATAAGAATTTGCTGGGGCCCAAATGTCGTTCTTGGCAGTGTCTTTATTCAGTGGCCAGTTCCTTCGCCACGTCACGGTGTTGTTAAACGGATATTTGTGGCTTTTTATAGGGAGAACGCTTGCTAGGTGAAAACCCACCACGTCTTAAATAAATAAATAAATAAACTTTTATTCTCGACCATGCGAGACACACCATGACAGGCATGATCATGTTTAGCTAACAGTGTGATCAATAACGTACAAAAGTACATGTGTGGCATGACAATATATGTAAGTGTATGGGTATATATGCGTATGTAATTGTGTATGAATGTAGCTTGTGTCTTTGAATGTGCCGCAGCATTTTTGAATGTTTGTTGTCGTCAGGAATGTGAGCATGAGCGATTGAGGTCCTTGGGTTGGATAGCACTTTCCGGATATCCACAGGCCAGTGACTTTATTTTGTGGTGAGTCACATCCGCCACGTCACAGTGTTGATAAGCAGACATTTGTGGCTTTTTATAGGGAGAACGCTTGCTAGGCGAAAACCCACCACGTCCTGGAACACTGCCGCCGAACTATTTGCTAGAACGGGTTAAACCCGAACCACCCAGCTGGCACCACGAGGAGGTTGTTCGGCTAGCCAGCCGTAAAGCCTGCCTTACATTAGTGTACAACTGGCAAACCAGCTTGCCGACTGGTTACACCCTCGGTTATTCGCAGTCAAATGCCACCCAGTTTCCTCTGTTGACTAACCAGGTAGCTTGGTCGGAGCCGCCACAAGCCTTGAGGCCGGTCGAGGGTGAAAGTCACCAAGGTTCGTGTTGTTGAGTGTCCAGGTGAGCAACGTTTCCGTTCCCACTCTCTGGATTTTTCAGGTAATGTATAAATTCCGGAACTGCGCAGAAATCATATCCAGCTATCCACACTGGACAACGGTCGTAGCGGCAAATGCAGTTGAATTCCTTTGATATACAGCCATGTTACATGTAGACCCTTATTGTTTCATCCGTCCTTTTCGGGCAAAAGCCCTGTTCCTTAGTCCAATCCCAGCCACAAAAGAAGTTCCTTACCTCGTAGAAAAGGCAAGTGCAGGCCCCGTAGGAATACAGTGCGTGCGAAGCAAGTCTATTATTATCCTTTAATAGTGCATGGAGTACATCACCAAACTAAGCACCCGTTCAGGAAACGTCCGTCACCGTAGACCCTGTACTAACCCATCATTTGATCGTAACATCCTCTTTAAAGCAATGCTGTACCAGATAAACCAAGATGAAAAAGCATGGATAAAATATTCCAAGCGTGGTCGCACAACTACCGAGAATTGCTTCACTATCATATTTGTCGTTAGAACTCCGTAGAAGCGGTGGATAAGCCATAACGTGCGCAACTCTACAAGCAGTCTTCTTCTAATAGCCGAACAACCTCCTCTTGGTGCCAGCTGGGTGGTTCTGGTAAATCCCGTTCCAGCAAATGGTTCGGCGGCAGTGTTCCAGGATGTGGTGGGATTTCGCCTGGCAAGCGTTCTCCCTATAAAAAGCCACAAGCATCCGTTTAACAACACTGTGACGTGGCGGATGTGACTCGCCACTAACTAAAGTCACTGCCTCTTCCCTTTTCCGGAGGATCACTTACACATTACGAACGTCATCCGATTCAAGGCGTTCCATTGATTCCCCTCTTTGATGGCGAACACAACGAACAAAAGCACAAACAGTCACATTCACCTACTCACACAACCTGTCCCCTCCCACATACACAGTTAAACATAGTTTTACATCTCAACACACAAAATTCCTATACTATTGGTCAATATGTACTAATTTGTGTAACCGCCGTTCATACATATCTGTAATAACATGATCAAGCCCTTTATGGTGTGCCTCGCAATGACGAGAATAAACTATTTATTTAGTTATTTATGAGTAGGCGACACCGAAATTAACCTGAGGAGTAAGAACAGGGAGTTCACTCCCGCCGACAACACCTCCGGCGGGAGGGCTTGCTGTCCATACTCGGAGAACCGAACACTGCCGACTTATAGATGAATAATTTAGTTTCGAATACTGTGGTACACCAAGCATGGTATGATCAACGCCTTACAAGCGATTGGTTCGCAAAAGGCACGTTCTTTACATGAAATGCGCTGTGCGCACAATAAATAGAAGTTACCGAACTGCCGGATGCACTGAGCACGAACGGAATCGTTAATGCTGTAAAATGTGTAAAGTGTAACAAGTAGAGTGAGGACGGAAGGCCGACACAAAGAAGTCTTTTTAGTGTACAAGTCTAAAATATATTGAAATGCTACGCAAAGTCGCTCTGGCTAACTTATCCTTGTGTGCTTGTGAGCGGTGACTTTATTAAGTGGCAACTCACATCCTCCACATCGCAATGTTGGAAAACCGACATTTGCGGCTTTTTATGGGAAGAAGACTTGCCAGACACAAACTCACTACGTCCTGAAAAACTTCCATCAATCCGTTTGAACGGTAAACTATAACCGGCAATGGAGCTTACAGCCCAATTGTACACTCGTCTATTCGCAGTCTTATGAGTTACAAATATCCGCGTTGGCTAACAGGATTGTTTAGTTTAAGTCCGCCGTTAGTCGTTGAAATTGGAAAGATATGATATGTCCAGGAAATTCGGGTGTGAGGTCATGCAGGCGTATGGATTTCCAATTAATGGACGTTGGCTTCTGCTTTGTGGTATACGGCTCCCAGCGTGAAGAGTTCGTGTCCAGGTATCAGCACGACGTGTCAGGTGTTGAGCGCAGTTGATCCTTGGTACGATGCAATTTTGTTCAGTATAAATACTGTACAGGAGCCTTCGTACATCACGTCCCAGGTGTGACGCAGACTACAACTGCGTTTCAAGGTAAAGCTTCAGTAGAGCGCATGGTTCCAAAAGAACTAAGCGTGTTCACTACGATCAACTAAATGCCCGGGTGTTGGAAAGATGCATAGATAAAAGGCTGAAATGTTGAAGTATGCTTTAAGGTAGACCATTCACAGGGCCCATCCCAGGTATACTGAATTGCAACAGAATCCCTAGGGATAGCCACAATATTCTGACGCTTAAGTTCCTCAGCAAACATTAGTGATAACACTCGTAGCCCCTGCATGTCGTCCACACAGGTCGCGCACAACAATGTCCCAGCACCGAGCGTACTGCACCTTCCAGCCAAAAGAGCAGAAAAACGTTTAAGATAAAGACAAGCTGTGTTATTATCTCATGTAAGTGCGCTTCTAAAGTGGGGTAAAATGCCAAAGTCTTTCGAATAGTCCACCAATGGCATGGTTACAGCGTGACCACTGTCGGCCGCTTCGACCCTAAGTTCATGAAATACAATGAGAGTTGGCTAACACCAAAATCCCCTGCGGATTATATGTCGCGCAACATTGGAGGTTAAGTTTGTGCAGGTGGTTCTGCACTGAATCCTTGATCGGCTTGTCAAACTGTTCGGCTGGTAATACACGGACAGATTACTGTCACCATCCTTAAATTCGGACAGCTGAGTGTCTGCATCAAATCTGAAGCTGAGACGCAACTACTAGGAAATTCTAAAAACCCGAAATTAAAATGACCACTCCGTTAATCGGCCAGTTCATGCAACGGTTTGGATGAATTAGATCTGGAGCTGAATCTTCAGAGGGGTATTACCTTGTAATAGCTTGGAGACACGAGTCCACCTTAGGTAAACTCAAGTGGAAACGGATCCTTTGGAGACGCTAAAATTAATCCAACCCGGGGTAAAGTCAAGCAAGCAAAGCCCCAGCATACTGCAACCATTTATAGAAGTCTTAGCGTGGTCAGGATACGCCGGTATCGACAGCTTACCACCGTTGCAATTTTTTAACGCCGGAAAATAACTCATCAAATGAGCCACTATTGAACTGGATAAATCCCTCGCCTATTGCAGACAAGCAGCTGTATGAGGCTGAGTAAATTTACTTCTAATATCCGCATAATTGACTTAGGTACTGGTTTATAGCGCTCCTTGGTAGAATTGACAGTATCTAGCTTAAGTAGCAAAATTTGCTTTGAAAGTTTGGGTGAGGTGTTTCCACCGGGATCAAAGAAACATCAAATCCGGAATTGTATAACATGGCACCCGAACATTTCAAGCAAATTTTGTTACTTACAGTTCCTGACTTAGCTTGCTTTGGAGTCCAAGGACTTTGGCCTACTTCTTCCCTTTGAAGTGGCATACATCATTTGAAGGACCATTACTGATCGTTGTGTCTACTACGGTTTGAATATCAATCGGAAGTAATCGCTTCCTTTGTTGAGCCATGCCCATAAAATGGATACCCTGAGAAACTGGGGATGAAACTCGGCAAATCAAGCTTTTTCCTCTTGTTGATGACGATGCAGTTCATGGTTCTGTGACATAGTCTAACGGTAGAGGGTAAACGGCGTTGGTTCTAGCGGCGCTTTTGCAGCGTTGAACT